GCTGAACTCAGTCCGCCACCATCTCTTCTTTGGGATGGTCTTGATGTCCCACCAATCCAGCCAGCCTTTGCCCTGCCGTTCTGCCGTCTGGTCCCCGCGCTCTGATTTCGCCAGCCTTGCTGCTTGTTTTTAACTCCGTGAAGTTCTTGTTTTTGCTTCCGTCTTAAACTGAATCATCCAGGCCTAGGGCCCCAGTATTAGTAAAGCTCCTAGTTTTTAAAAAAATTTAAACTGGAGGAAAAATACATGTTGTTTTGTAGCCCCTCGCTATGTGCATCCCCCTTCTCACAATTCCAGATGTGCGTGTGCGCTGTCCTCTGAGCAGGTCCTGCATGGCCCACAGAGGTGAGAGGTGGGTTAGCTGGCCGGGTCTTTTCCATCTAAAGTCATTTAGACTGAATAGGAGCTGTCCTCTAAAGCTGGATGTTGCGGTGGATGGGAGACCGTGTCCTGGGTTCTGACAGCAGAGCGAAGCTGACATTTAAAATCCCAAATGTTTCTAGCACTGGTTAACCAGAGGGTTCCTCTGCCCAGTATCAAGTCCCAGTTTATAAATCCAGAAAGTATTAAAAAAAAAATCCATGTTACTTCTTGCTCTTTCTAGTCTGCCTTTATTTAAATGTCCTTCCACTGGATCAATGAAACCAGTTGCACTGTCATGTCCATCTCAGAGCGTGTTGCAGTCTCTTGAGAGTCTAGGTTACAATATTAAACACTCTCACTTTCTTCATTTTGTTCAGTGGCCTTGTGCCATTCCTCCTGGGCTTGTCAAATCTCATTTATATGACGTCTAGATTTGGGGCTGAGCCCCAGCTGGCAGCATCCTTGCCATCATGATGAATGCTGGATGGAAAGCTCAGTAAATGCTGGGTGCAAGGTGGCTCTTGTAGTTCCTGCAGCTCGTGGGAGAGAGCCTTTGTGATAGCAAATCATTTGCATTGAAGTAGAGCCTGGGACTCCTAGTCCTGGACCAGGACCTGTGGTAACTGCTTCGATTCCCAAGCACGGTGCAGAAGCAGTAATGCGTGGCTTCCTGGCTCTTTGCAAGCAGTTGGGAATGGGGAAGCTGTTATATCACAACACCGCTGTAAATCCCTCATGTAGCTACTCGACTTTGCAGGGGACAGAGTCATTTTGTATTTCTCTTTCCCCTGTAATGTGCAAAGCAAATCCTCCAAGCAAGCCTGAGATTTCAAAGAGGGTCCAAGGACACAGTTCATACCCATGGCAGAGACCCAACACGGCCAGGCTGCCTTCTCCCCATGTGCATGGCAGCTCTCCATCAGTCTGTTTCTTCAGCCGCTTGCACAGTACTCACTGCCACACTACAAAAATAGAGAAAAACACATACACCCACTTAATGGGGCGAGGTGGGTCTATGTGTCTTTTTGTATCATGGCAGTGGCAGGGAGCATTGTGCAAGCTGCTGTACCAATACAGCAAAGACAGTCCCTGCCCTATGGAGCTTGCAGTCAAGAAGCCAGGACTAGTGAGTGTAGCAAAGGCAGGGAGGGGAACAGCTGGACAAATGCAACAGGAGCCAGAGAGATGCCACTGCCATGATACAAAAAATAGAGAAAAACACATAGATCCACCTAGCCCCATTAAGTGGGTGTATGTGTTTTTCTCTATTTTTGTATTGTGGCAGTGAGCACTGTGCAAGCTGCTGTTACAGTGGTGTTAGAAGAGCCTCCCTTGTCCTGCTTTTACATGCCCTGCCTGTTCAGACTGATGGAGAGAGATGCAGTGCACATGAGGGGAAGGCAGCCTGGCCATGTTGGGTCTCTGCCTTAGGAGTGAAATATGTCTTTGGACCTTCTTTGAAATCTCAGGCTTGCTGGAGGATTTGCTTTGCACATTACAGGGGAAAGAGAAATACAAAATGACTCTGTCCCCTGCAAAGCTGAGTAGCTACGAGAGGTGAAACAAAAGACACCAAACTAGAGCAATCTGGGTACAGACTCTAGCCAACTAGTCAGACCCCCTTTCCTAGTAGAAACTCCCTTTCCATCACAGAAAAAATGGAAAAGCATTCCCAGGCCATGCAGCCCTGGGTTCAGAGAGCAGCTTTCCAGGTCTGAGATGTTAGGGTCACAGTTATATTCTCAATCCTTCCTTGTGAGCATGAAAGAAAAAAAACCTGCACTTTTTGATTGTTAAATAAAAGCCGGGATTCTCACCAAATCCTGTGCCTTCACAAGCCAAGACTGCAGGTAAGATATCATGGATTGCATGAGTGGTAATGAATTGCAACGAGCTGACAACACAGAGCCTCTGCCTTTAGACTCCCTGTTGCTGCTGTGCTGTTTCAAGGCTTTTCTCACCTGCAGTGAAGATGCTCCTACAGTTGTGTTTCTTTCCTTGTTAAGGGCTTTGGCCATGGAGCCGGGCAGCATCGATAACTTGTCCATCCTGTACCAGAGCTCCGACTTCATCGTGGTTAACAAGCACTGGGACATCCGCATCGACAGCAAGATGTGGTACGAGAAGCTGACCCTGCAGAGCCAGCTGAAGTACCGCTTCCCCGAGCTCGCCGACCCAGACACCTACTATGGCTTTAGGTGAGTGACCCAAGGGCAGCAGAGCCCTTATCCTACATACGTAGATCCCGACTCTCTCTGCAGTCATGGTGCCTCTTCTTGGAGTCCGCAGCTAGTAAGACTGAGGACAGAGCCAGCTGGAGATGGGGCATTC